CAATATTTTCTCTATATTGGTTTGCAATACGAGTGAATACACACTTTATGTCACTTTTCTCTTCGCAAAAATTAAAAATTTTATTAAATTTAAAATATAAAATTGAGTTCGATTTTATTTTAATTTAAAAAATTGTTTTCAGTACTTTAACCACACACTTAAATAAAGTTTTGGTATAAAACAAATTCAAGGACATCATATTCCCCTAAGGACTCGCTGTAAATGTCAAAACAAAAAAAAATATTTAAAAAATTGTCATTATTATGCATTTTTATTTTCTCTCGTTTATTATGATAAACTTTTCAGCAAACAAACTGAAATTTTTTACTTCCCCTAAATTTATTGGCGGTTATTGCACATATACACTTAATATTAAAATTTTCCACTTGTATCTAAATGCATAATATCGATATTATAAGTATTGTATGCAAATATACATTTTAATATATACATGCTGCATACATATATATTATACGTTATAATAATATTTTAATGACGTGCATATCCTGTCAGTTCCCAATATTATTTATGCATTGAAATTGCATTTTTATAGTTATAGTTCTATTTGAATATTTTAGGAAAGGATGTTAATTACTTTGCAAATTTTATGGTGTTAATAAAAAATTGCATATATGCAAGCTCTTATTTATATACTAATAAGTAATTTTTGAAGTCGTTTATGTTAGGGTATAATTTATATATATTTTATAAATTTATATAGCGAGGTTTTTATGTACCAGGCGTTGGAAACAATTTTTAATCGCCATTCTCAAACGGTAAGAGAATTAAAGAAACGTGCGCTGGTCAGTGATATTGTCGTTGAGATATTAATAAAATTATTTTCTGTTTTTTTCCAAACCCTTTTTAACCCTTGAACTAAAAAGTTCATCGAAAATCAATCGTTTCGATTAGTACGCGTACAAAATGCACAGCAATCAAAATAAAATTTAAAAAATTGCTCTTAATTTTTAATTTTATTACTCAACTAAAACGAGTTACTTGAAATTATTAAATGAGTCGCTCGCTTATCCGAGAGCGATAGGTGTCCGACCCCCTAGTATAGAATGTTATGAAGCCATTATAATTTTAAGAATAGGTATATTTGCGATAATTATATTGTATTTCTTATAAATTTCAATATTAACACTATGTATAAATAATGTAAGTAATTGTAAGTGCTGTAGTATTACAATTTTTTTTCTATACAAGTACAAGTATCTAAAAATATGTGTATTTTATATTTGAAACGGGAATATATGTATAGCAACATACATAGTTATATAAAGACCAAAGAAATAATGTGCACAGTGAATTCATAGGAAACAAAAGAAATATTGTATATAAGAATCCTTAAATTAAGTATTTTTATAAGTAGTTCTGGGACTCCATTAAGTTTCCAATTCAATATGCATACAAAACTTAAAGTTTATCGTCTTATAGTTTCTTATAAATAATAAATAAAAGAAGAAAAATAAAGTTATGAACATAATATGGTCGAATATGACAATACATTTATTATTTCACATAAAGTTTGTATGTGTTATACAAATTGAAAGATAATAATTTGAAAAGATCATGGATATATGAAGAGTATACGAAGAATTTTAGCCACAAGACGACTTCAGGATGGCAAAAGTTTTATTAATTATGTACATAGTAAGTACATGTAGTAATGTCGAGGTTATATTATATTACATGTATGTATTGCATTAGAATATAATTTTAGTTTGAATTATTTATTTTTATTTAAATATTAAGTAGATTTTACATAGGCTCTGTATTTAAATTTTTATTTTAATTACAAAAATTACTGTGAAAATTATGGTACGTAAATTGTAATTTTGAAATTTTTATTTAAAAGGCGTATTGAGTTTCGTGAGCTTATCCTTATTTACTATATCTGTACAGAGAATTCGATTTATAACAAATGGTAAACTTTACTTTCTCTTTAAGAGATTATATTAAACAAAATGGAATAAAGAAAAAACGAGTAGGAAAGTTTTTGTTTCTTAATACAGTTTAGTCCAGACATTACTTATATTATCCTTGAAATATTTTTTAAAATAATCAGTTTTTCACAAAGCATTTGGAATTAAAGAAAATTGCAAGCAACCCTTTTGTTGTTCAGCCTGTTATCGTAAAAATTTAAGAAAGCAAATTCGTTTAGAATAGGCAGGCAATTCTATTTTGATAATAAGCAAAATTAAGTTGTTCTTGTCATTTTCTTTGGAATTCATTCGCTTAAAATATATGTATCTGTGTTTTGTCGAAAATAGCTCTTTAAATTCTTCACTTTTTGAATTTTTTAAATGTTTATAAGTAAGTGTTCTTTAGTTTTATTAAATTAGTATAAGATATTTATTAAAAAACTTTTCCAAAACTAATTCTAATAACCCAAAAGGTATGGCTATATTTATCAAAACTGTTTTTTAAACTTCTTTCACATATTTTCTAAGATCTTAAATATTTACATATTTCTCTATACGATATAGTTTAGTCTACTGTATTCATTTATTATTCAAATTAAGTAGTTGAGTAATTTACACAAAATTAAACAAAATATGGACAAAGTGTGCTAAAGCCTATGAGCAAGGGTTGAACTACATTGTATATTTTGCTCTTTAAGTTTATTGAAAACGAGATTGCGAATTTGTTGTACGGGTTCTGTTAAAGTAAAATATCTTGTATTCTAATCATATTTACCCTATATTTTTCTATTCATTTAGAGCAACAAAACATCATAACAATTAATGAATGTGTAGAAAAAGATTAATATTTGTTGTTGCTGTTTTAAAAATTTTCTATATATATACATTTAATATTCAAATCAATATTAAAATTTTTATTATAAATTCTTCTACAAATAAATATAAAAGATGAACTCTTTAGTATAAAAGATTTTTTTTAAACTCTTATACTTAGCAAAGAAAATAATTTTTAAGAAAATCCATCAAAACGAAAGTTTCACCTAATAAAGTACAAAAACATATCCGTCCCATACCATTTTTATGATTCCTGACTTCTCTTTTATTGTTTGTTTTTTTAATGTTTTTTGTTTTAACTTATTCTAAGACAATAGGAGTATACAATCTACAAGGATTTTTTTTTTAAAATTCATTTATATAATATGTACATATGTACATACATGTATCGCATACACATACGTTTCTCTCATTATTTAGAAAGGAAACAAGAAAATGGAAGTCAATTTCTTATTGTTTTCTACATAGTTATAACAAGTTACACATTGACGGCATTGTTTACATACAATGATTACAAAAAAAAAACTATTGCTTTTAAGGGAAGTAGGGAGCAGAAAAGAAAAAAAAAACTTTAAGAGTTATTGCACCAAAAGTCAACACAATAGGTTGAAAGTGCACTGTAAATACACGCACATTGCATATTGCATACACTGTAAATATTTTTTCTGCAACTGCAGAAGATTTTATTTTGAATGAAGTTGCTTTATTGGTTGATAACTATAAGAAGCTATGTACTCGTAATGCAGAATAAATTGGGAAATCGTTTATATACTGACTTTCTTAAAAAAATTAAAAAGTATGTTTAAAGTTACACGCATTTTTCGATCAAACTACCAAAAAATATATTATTTTCTTCAAAAAACAAATGGGACCCCGATTTAAATAAAATTTTATGTTTAAAACAAAGGATTTTATTAGTACTTACCAATTACGGTAGAAAGGCAGCCTTAACTGGGTTATTCTAATTTTTCGGCAATAGAATAAGTTTACGAATTTAATGTCTTAGGGGATATTGTTTGAACGCTATTTAATTTAAAATTTAATAAAAATTTTTTCTCAATTTTAATAAAAATTTCTATTAAAGAGTTTAAAAATTTTTATTTTTAAATAATCTACAAAGAATTTCAGCAAAATTTATGAAAAGGAAAAACATTATTTTAATTAAATTTATCATAATAGTAATGATGATAATAAAGAACGCGGCAAGAATATTACAATGAAAATTTAAAATACACAAACATAAATACCATCACAGTTCCTTTTTAATTTGGTTATGTTATTCCTGTTTCTTGTGTCACGGACAATAAATAAAAATTTTTATATTCAAAAACTAAATTTTTTTTTTCACTAATACTGTGTATAACACTTTAAATTTTAAATAAAGGAAAAAGTGAAAAAATTTTTGATTATATTTCGTTAAGCTCCCGATTAAGGAAGAAATCGAAACCTATGTTATAAGATTATATTTAGAGATTTTACATACTTATATTTGTGTTGTAATGAAAGTATGACTGTATTTCTAATATTTTAAGAATAATAATGAGCTATAATTACTCGTAAGATGAGCTTCTGAATTGTTGGCAAAACTATTCGAGTTTTACTGAAATGTTAAATATTTTTCTGTGGTTTTCAAATACACAAGGTAAAAAAAGACGTGTGCTTGGGAAAATTATTTCAAATTTAGTTTTTCATGCTACTTTATCTGTTAATTTTTCAGTAATGTTCAAAGATGAATTTACATTTGTAACAAAACTTAAAACCTGATAAACTAGACTTAGACTATTGCCACTTAACCGTAGTTAAAATAAAATAATCGTAATTTTAGCAATCAATTCAATCAAAATTTTCAGTGAATTAGCCTAAAAAAATAATAATACGGGGACTGATGATTTGTTTTTCTAAAAATCAAAACTGTTTTAAATAAAAAATTCTTCTATACATTGCTGTTCAAATCGAGAAAATTACGAATTATAAGTTTAACTCCTTGACTAATGTTTTTTTTCCTCTTGTACATTTTATTTTTATTTTTTTTTATTTTTTATAATACGTGCATATATTTAGAAATAATTTTTTATTTCAATTGCACACAAAAAATTATAAAATAATTTTTTTTACTAAAATTATAAAATTATGCTCTGCAAAAATAAAAATAAAACATTTTATAAAATATAATTTATATGTGATTGGATTAAAAGTATTTTAAAATAATTTTCTTATTATTTTATTTAAAATTTTCAGCTTTTACTTGAGCATTTAGAATGTTTAGTATCACGGCATGAACGTTCCTTACGTATGACTGTTGTTAAAAGGCAAGCGGCAGCTCAAAGTGGTGTTTCTAGTGAAGTTGAAGTATTAAAAGCTTTAAAAAGTTTATTTGAACATCATAAAGCTTTAGATGAAAAGGTAATATAAATTTTAATTAATACTTTTTATACTTATTTTCCTAAATAATTTTATTGTATGTAAATGAGCACCCCATTTTAATTTCTTTGAATATAATAGTTTTATATTTACAAAACTATTGAAATATAGGTAACAATTTTATAATTAAATGTTTCTGTTTTTATTTCTTTGTATAGGTACGAGAACGACTGCGAATTTCATTAGAAAAAAATTCACAGTTAGAAGAGGAATTGAATTCAACCAAAGATGAAGTAAGTGATTTATGTATTTATATATAAATTTAATAATTAACTCTATTAATTTAAAACTGAAAAATTTTTATTTGCTCTTTAACAGTGCTCTAATATTTTATACTTAAAGAACAATTTTACTTGAATAACTCTAATACTTAAAGAAATTATTAATTGGATTAACATAATAACGAAATTTAACACTGTAATTGGTTAATTTATTCTATTAAACTCTGAGAGAAAAATCAGAATTTTTATTAAATTAAATTGCTTTTACAATATGTCTTGAGTATGAATTTTTAAATTTTGTAATATGATCGATTAAAAGGACATTTAGATTTCGCAAAATTTTTAATAAAATCTTAAATATTAATTTCTTGTTGAATTCTCATAGTAAACCAACTTATATTTCATACTAAAAGGGAAAAGAAATTCAAGCAGAAAATAAACTGAAATTAAAATAAGGATAATCTTATCTGACACCAATATTTATCTTACTCTTCTCTTATATTAAAATATAATATTATTATAGTATTACAAGAAAAGTCCTTATTAATATTATAAAATTAAAAGTGTTGTAGATTTTTTTACTTTAAAATATTTAATTGCTTTTTGTCAGTGTTATTCGTTCTTTTATATAAAGCACATTTATACGCTTACATTCGTTTTATGAATATAGTGTGAAAATAGTTATGAATATTTAAAATCATGACTTTCTTTCATTAATGGTAGTAATGTCTGTCAACACAATTTTTTTTCCTTTGGAAAAATTTATTTCACTTAAAACATTTTTATATAAAATATAATAATAAAAAGAATAAAAAATAAACATAATTTGCAATTATATATTTTTATATAATATCCTTTAATAAATTGAAATGTCCTTTTTTATGTGTTTGTTGTTGTTGAATAAAATCCATCAAAAAAAAGAAAGGATATTTGATTTTAATAATATTTTTTTTAACACAATTTTCTCATTATTGTTTTTCTTTATTTTTATAGCTTCAACAATATAAGTCAGGTGCAATACAACATAATAGTAATAGCGATGGTAGTAAAGAAAATGGTGATGGTGATAAGGTAAGAAAAGAATTATTTTATGTGTTTATGATAATGATATTTTTTCATCATTAGCGCATTTTTAAATATTTCTAAAAAAAAATGTGTATTATAGTTTAATTCTATTTGTCTGCTTGTTCATTTGTAACTCTGTTCATTTGTCGTTCTCGACTGTTTTAGACTATTTAAAATACAAATAGAAAATTATACACAAGTTGATGTTAGTGAGGATGTTATATCTCTAGAATAACATTTTCCGGTATCCTCCTTCCCACACCAATTTGTATCATCTTTAAAACAATGAAAATTCAAATTTTTAATGAACATTTGTGTCGGAGCCTTAAACTATTGGTAAACTGTTTAACATCAGGGAGTACTTTTTTCATAATAAAAATTATAAGCAATTATCAGGAAGTCAGATTGAACCTTTACCATTATCTTAACCTAGATTTTTTAGAGCTCTTCTTCTCCCAGATAATAGCACGATTGTGTGTAAATTTTGAACAGTTTGTCAACAATTAAATTTACCAGAACAAAATTTATTTGTAACCCATCTTCCGCCTCTGACAATCATTACACTTCAAAATTTCTATGCTCTTATGTTTTAATTGAACGAATAACCAATGCGTTATGCTTGAATTGTGTTGCATTAGTATAAATTTTTCGAAAATTATTACTCTTATGGTTTCCCCTAAATTTATGCAATATTATATAATTATAAAAGAAAAATTATTCGAATAGGTTGTCTTTATTACGTTGACATTATGTGAATGGAAACTCTTAACTTAAATTGTTAAACGGAAATTATGCTACTTTACAAACCATAATTTTGATGGACCATCTTTTAATTTTTCCTTGTTTATGTATTCTTGTTTTAAATAAACCAAAATGTTGAACGCAAAATAATGATTTTATCAAGTTATGAGACAATTTTTTTTAATATTAATAAAAATTATCATTCTTATTAAAGTAATTGAATTTTTTTTTGCAAAATTTTTTTTATGTTAATTTAAATATTTATTATTTTTATTTTGTAATTCATTTTAACAGAAAAGTGGTATTAATGGTGAAAGTCAGGATTCAATTGATTATGCTGCCAAAACACATGAATTACAAACAATTATTGAGAAACAGGTAAATAAGAATTCATTTTTCAAAATTCATTTTTATAATTTTCGCATTAATTAAGAAAATATTTACATCAAATTTCAATTTAATTATTTTAAATTTTGTTTTAAGTGTTTAATTTTTTTAAATAATGGAGATTGTTAAAATTAAGGGAATTTTATAAAAAATAATTTCGATTAAAATTTCTTATTTAAATAACTACAATTTATAATCCATGAAATTTTATTTTGGCACGAAAGTGATCTTAGTTTATAAAATTAAATCGAATATTCAAAATGTTATATTTGTCGTAATTTTACAAAATTTTATTTTATGCACGAGACTACCTATAAATTTAGTTAATTATAGAGATATATGAAGGATCTCCTGAAGGATCTACAAAATATTTTAGCCTTAGGGCTTTTTTCGTTATTCGTGTAACTTGCAAGAGTAAAACCTTGTTTAATTTTATCGATAATTTTTAGGAGAATTTTAGGGAGCATTGAAATAATAAAGCAAACTATAAGAAATTGTAGTTTGATAATTAGCTAACATTTTACATGGTATATTTTACATAGCTTCTGCAAGTCTATAGAGAAAGAAATATGAATCACGCCATTAAACAACTCTAATTTTTAAATTAATTCGACAAAATAATTTGCCACTTTTAGAGATCAGAGGTATTCATTTATTTTTTCCTCATCTTTATGTTTTTTATCTTTAAGTAATGCAGATTGTTATTATCAGTAATATTTCAAAAAATTCTAGCTTAAATAATTGATTGAAATAACAAGGCATATGTGTCGGTATGTCAAAGGTGTCGTCTGTATGGCTATAGAACATACTGGAATATTAGATTTTGTACGCGGATCTTAGTTTGGAATCTCTTGAATCGATAGATGAAACATATGGATCGATATAGTCATTATATTCTACTCTGAATACCTTTAGAATTTTTTGAATTAGTATACTAAAATCTATACGTTTCATAATATTACTTAATTTTCAAAATTAAAACTCAATTCTGTGGTTATTCAGCATCGTGCGAAACTGAAATCTCTAGTACCTTTTACTAGTATTTAGATAATAGATATGTATACTTGTACTGTTGAGTCTGAATAACCAAAATTCCAAGGAACCGAGATATTTTTTCTGTATTGCTTTAACTTAGACTCAACTGATTGTTATAAATATTTTTAATTTTTTTTTAATTATTAGAGGAAGAACATGCATTTATATACAAAATTATTATTTACAGAATTACATATATTTTCTATTATGTTAAATTTATTAAATAATTTTTGTAATTATCTTAAAAAAAAAATGTCACAGTGGCATTTAAAGAAAAACACAAAATTAGGTACGCAATCAATATTTGAATTAGATGATTTTGCCAATATTAAAAGAAGTATTTTAAAACAACCAGAGAGTGAAAAAATTTTAACACGTTTTAATTATCAATTGAATTCAACAGATCAGGTGAAAAATGTAATTATAATTATGTAAATTATTTTAATGATAATTCAATTTATTTTGTACATAGTACATAATTTTGTGACATAATGTATGCATACAATCTTCTTTTATATTAGAAATTAATGCTAAATATGTATACATGGAATATAAAATATTTTCTTACGGTATTTAATTTCACTCAAAAATTTTTTAATGAATCCAATATTTTTACTGGAAAATATGTTTCGTAGTATGTTCTCTTGGTCAGGGTGTTATTTCGTAGTATGTGCGTCAGAGGAAATTTCATGAGAGGAAGATTTTGATATGCGATATGTACCCTGTTAGAAAGGTCCGTATGTTACTGGTTACATAACCAAATGAATATACCCTATAATATATTAAGATATCAAAGCAATCGATACTCCTTTTCTTTATGAAATACTTATTTGCTTGCAAAATAATTCTATTAATAGAAATTCTAACTTCAAAGCATTATAGACATAAAAATACTGACTTGAAAGTTGATTACATTTTCTTTGTTGTGTTATTTGCAAATTAATACGCGAAGTTAATTTAAATTTCATATAAATATTTCAGTAATTTGCTGTGATTCTGTACTTTATTCAACACTTACTAACTTCTACAAAATTTTGTGAAATATTGCCCCCCGATATTATGCAAAAAATCATAATAATAATCTGTCGTGTTTTTTCGTACTCTAAAGACACTGTCGATTTTCAGAAATCGTCTATTCTATTAAATATTTTTTATACTTTTCACCCACTTTAACCAAGTTAATTTTTGCGTAGCACAATTTTTTTTTTTCATTTCCACTATTGCCGGAGTTAAAATTAACTCGAAATTTATTAATTTCTAATATAATTGAAGATGACTGTAATTATTGCATACTTCTAGAAGGGCTTGAATTGTAAATAATAATTATTAACCTAGAAATACTTCAATTTTCCAATTTGCCCTTTAAAAAACCTAATTAATATTTCCTGAACAAGTATAATATTTTTACCAACTTGTACTATAGAATAAATTTTTCATTATTTACATATTTTGTAATGTACAAATTTCTTTTGCTCCTTTAAGAAAATGCGCTCTCTTTGCTCTTCTATTTTCATATTTATTCCCATCTTAGTAAACAATTCCAAATTGAAATTTACATAAATTTTTAACAAGAAAAAATTATGAAATCATTCTATATAAAATTTAATATTAAAAATTTATGGAAAATTAGATAATCGCTTTCATCACTATAAAATATATTTTAAGTATAAGACAACAAGTATAAAAAGCCAGTTATTATAAAGCCAGTTATTTGCTCTCAATTTGATCTCGTTACAAAATTTAAATAGTAAGAAAAAAACTTTGAGTTTTTCTTTTCATTTAAGTTTATTATTCTTTTAGTTTTCATTTTTCTGATATTATTTTTTTTTTGTTTTGCAAATCCTTTAATTTGTATTCATCATTTTATCCTTTTTATTTTTTATTTCTTTTTATAGTTACCATTCTATTCTTTTATTCATACTTTGTTGTAAAAGCAAAGAAAAAAAAATAAACATAGTTTGCTCTTCTTTTATACTACAGTTTTATTTTCATTGTACTTATATACTAATTTTTTTTATCTTATACAATATTTATATAAGTATGTATGTACATAATTTGTATACATATTTTTTTGATTCCATTTTTTGTTTTTCTTTAAATCTTTAGACTGCTGAATTATCACAATGGCAACGTCGTGTATCCGACTTAAATAATAAAATTAGCGAACTTGAAGAAAATTTAACGAAAGTTCAAAAGGAGTTATCAAAATCACAGGAACAATGCTCGAAATTACAACGTGATTTACGTGAAAATGTTGCACAAAAAGAAGATCAGGTAATTTATATGAAAAATTTTAAATGTATATACATATATATTTAGTATACACATACTCGTATATGTATATTTTTATAATACAAAGTTTAAATGGTTATATAATAAAAATAAATATGAGAAGAATACAATTGTAAATGTTAATATCCATGGTTAAAGCAAAGCTATTATAAAATGAAATTTCTAAACTTTTCTGTTACATTTTACTTAAAAAAGGAATTAAAATTTGTGAAAAAAATGAAAGAAAACGAAAAATTGCTAAGCAGAAACGTATTCATATTAATAATAATGGGAAGAAGTTAAAATTTACAAGTAAGAACCAGCACTCCCTTGACTGTATTAGATCATGTTCAGCTTTAAAATTTAATTTTTTTTTACTAAGAAATTGTGTATTGCAGAAATTGATTATAGTGAGAAATAAGTAATCTTTGATTTTGTAAATTTTATTAAAAATATTTAAATCAAATTGATTCATACGTTCCCTCTTAGCTTAAAGATGCTCTTTAGTCTGATATAACCTTCAGCACAAATAAATCAATAGACATTTGTGACAATAAATCGAGAAAAAATTTGTTTTTTAAATTATTCTAAAATGTATTTGCTGAAAAAAATTACATTTTGTTGGTGTATTGACTGCATTACCATTGACAGTTTTTTTGTTTTTAATAAATAATTTAAAGGAGTTCTAAATTCAACAAAATATTCCCATATGCTAAAATCTCGTGCACGTAATGTTACTGTTTTATTTAAACAAAATGCAAATTGTAATGTGTGTAAAGAACATTTTTTCCACCTCATTAAATTGAGGTAAATAGAACTTTAAATAAATTTTGTATATTAAAAAGTATGTGATGTGTGTGTTTTATTATATTAAAATGCAATATTTGAAGGATTATTGAAAATATATGGCGTTAGTTTTTGTACCCATTTATCATATGGGAATAAAATAACAAAATGAACGATAGTAATTCATGCCATGCCACAATAACACACAAATAAAAACAAAAAAAATAGGTGATGAGCTAAAAATCACTTCCATTTTTTGTTATTTTATCCAATTTTTTTCTGCATATACGTGAAGACATATATATGCATACATATGTATATAAAATAATCTAGAAATTCTTAAGTATATTTTATTTCTGAAAATATAAAATGAAGGTAAAAGTAATTCAAATATTTTTCTGCGACATATACAAATAAAATAAAATTGATTCTATTAGTAAGTAGAAATACTTAAAAAGTATTTTAATGTGCAACAATTGACACTTTTAAAGCTAATATGAATAATTTTTGAAAATTTAACTCGAAAATGTAAATAGATTTTGGAAAATTAAATTTAAAATTTAAGTCTCTTAATGTAAATTTATAAATTTTAATTGAAATTAAAAACGAAAGAGTAACGTACGAAAAGAAAAAGATTCAACTAAAATAACGTATATTTATTATTCTTGAGAACAAATAAAGATTTAAAAAAAAATATTGCTGGAGTCGGAACTACTGCTTTACTATTTTAGTTCTGAGTTTTGTTTTTTGTCGTCCGCATTACATACAATAAGAGTAATGTAAAGGCCTCGGTAACTGAGTTTTTAGTTTGAGATGATTTTATACTTTTCCTCGTAACTACAGAACTAATTGACAAAATTTATTGAAAGTTAATATTTGTGCTCTTTTTATCACCAGAACTAATGGACAAAATTTTCAGAGAATTGGATATAAATAGAATGAAAACCACCTGTAACTTCATTTTTCTTAATTTTATTACATTTTGTATAATTTAAAAGAATTATTCTTTATAGCATTATGCTCAAATATTTGTAAATGATTTTCTTCTCAATTTATGTGCAATATTATTATTCTTTAAACAAAACACACAAATGTATATATATATATATATACATAAATTTATTCAATTTCTAATATAATTTTTAATTTTATAGGAGGAGAGAATAACAACTTTAGAGAAACGATATCTAAATGCTCAAAGAGAATCAACATCATTGCATGATTTGAATGAGAAACTAGAACAAGAACTGCGACATAAAGAAGCTCAATTGAAGGTAAGTTTATACAAAATGGTATGGTACTATAGGTTTTTTTCTATAAAACTGCTCTTTAATTTTGATTTCTGCAATGTCCTTTACAATATTAAACTAAAACTAACAGAACAAAAGAGAAAAAAAAAAGACAGCAAAATTTTCTATTTCAATGTTTTGTTTTTTTTGTGTTCTCTTCTATAATTTTAAGATTATTTTTTTTTTATCTTTCTTTTCTTATTTTTCTTTGCAAAATACTCTTTTTCTATTTTTCGATTTATTTTTTTAAGTTAACAGAGTGTTGCCGATTTACTAAGAATTGTATGAAGAGTATAAGAATAGGATGTGAAGGAAAATTTGTTTTCTAACAAAATGAACCTATTACTTATGAAATTTTTAAAAGCATAAAATTGACAATACTTTTTCATTTACGAAGCACCAAATTTATACAAAAGTTCTAAATGGTTATAAGTTGATTTGTTTTGTAAATTTATTTGGAAAGGTTTTTAGTTACCTATATTTGGAAAGGTATTTAATTTTAATTGCTAAATTAGCTACTTTACTTAAAGTATACTAGACAAATAGAATTTTTAAATTTTTTAAATAAGAATTGATAAATAATTTTCTTTCATTTCTTCGAAATTGAAATGTTTCATTTAATGTTTAATTAAAAAATTTTGTATACGAAAATTGATGATCACATTATTTTATAAAGATTTCAAAAATGTCCCATTGTGTTTTTATTATACTGGTATAAATTGTAAAAACCTGTGGAATAAAATTAATTCAAAAGTAATTCAAAAACAAGAGTACAATTTTTGAAAACCAATGTGTTTTAAGCACCTGCGGCAAAATTGGGTATACTGCGAAAAAACCTTTAAAAAAATCAAAATTTGTTAAAGCTTATTATAGACGGCAACACTCTGCATTCTTTATATAATAATTTATTCCTCTCTGTTTTAAAAACATTATTTCTTTGTCAGGAAGAAACGTGTTTTTTTTTTATTTTTTTTTTTTAGTTTCAAGGATAGTGGAATTTCTATATAATATGCAAATATATAAAACGTGACATACAAAATGCAAATAAAGTGTAAAACTAGCAATGTATACTCTTCTATACTTGAAGTTTTGAAAAAAAACAATATAACGCAAACATTCAAAGCTGCTTTGAGTGAAAGTGTGCAAAAGTAACGAAGTATAAGTAAATTTTAAACATTTGTTTTTTTTTTGTTTAAACTGCAATGTGTAACAACTTAACAGGGTATGTTCTTTGGAATCAAGTATGCATACTATAAAGTAAGCGTTTAATTTACAACAAAATCAAATGGAAAACTAAGAAACTTTATTTGCATTTTGAGTGTCAGTTATTTGAGTGTGATTATTCTCACAAATTTATAATTTTCTTTGTGGTGGTATTATTTAAATTTTGGTTTATAAAATAATATTTTTTTCCTTATTTGTTTTTCATACTAAAATGAAAATTAAATAAAATAAATATTGTGTTTTACTTAACCAATTTTTTTTTTAATTTGTGTAATAAAATAACACTTTTGTTAATTTTTGTTATTGTTATAACAGCAATAAAAAAGGCAAATAATCCTTTTAGTAAAATTAAAAGTAATAAATTGTTAAGAGGAAAAATATTTTAGAATGTATTGGAGGGGGATGGTTTGATTATAAAATCCCCACATGTAATGGTGAATATTTGATGAATGTCCCTTTAATAGTGGATAAGAGTGTCTCCCGCTTTCTTAACGTACCTTTATATTGTACTAAATATGTTATTGTTGTTGCTCCTTTCCCTCTTAAATTGGTTGTTTCGTTGTTTTTGGTGAGATGAATGTGAAATAGCAATTTATAATTTAATTTTTTTTTTGAAATTTTCTAATTAATTATGATTTTTTTTTAATCTTATATAATTTTTAATTATTTTTTCCACGTATCTTCGTGCCAAGGATAATTAATAGTCAATGAGAATGTATAATGAAGATTTAAAGTAAAAAAACAAAAGAACTAACTTTTATGCATAACTAATTTTTTTTTACTTTTTTTGTTTATTTTATTGTGTATGTGTTTATAGTTTTGGTTTTCTTCTGTTTTTTCTGAAATAACGAATAGCGCGCTACTGTTTATCCTCTAATTTTTTTCACTTTTATTATTATTATTTAATAATATTATCCTTTTTATTTTTGATGTCCTTGAATAAATTCTTTGTCGGCAAAAAATCGAGGATGTTTTTTTTCAATCTACTATATATAAGCATTTTTAGAGGAATGTTGCTTTTGCTATGTGAATAAAAAAAATTGTGAGTTTACAACATGCGTTTTTTCTTTGTGTATGAATGTTTCTTTGAAAGTATTTCTTTGTAGCTGTATTATGAGGAATTGAATAATGAATTATGCAAATTCTTGTATATATACAGAGGATGAATAAAACAAGTAGTATAATATTTATTATTTATAATATTATATATTCCGTTATTTTACATAGTTGAAATTTTTTTTTAGTGAATTATAGAACAGTTAAAAAATATTTGAAATTAATTTCAATAATTCGAAACGCTACATCTATAATTATTTTATAATTCAAGAAAGAATATGGAAATAATTTTAAATGTTTTTTTTTTTTCAAGATGCTCCCTGAAATTTTAAAGAAAATTAATTCATTAGTTAAACATTTTTAAATATAAATTAAAATTCATAATAATAAATTCGAAATTCATGAAAAAACTGTTTCTGAAATGGTTTTTTCTCCCCCGTCGCATATTCATTTACTTCATCTTGCGAGTTGCATCGTTGCTAGGATATTATGCTGTTAAAAGTTAATTTGATTAAAAACATGTTGTGTTCTTAACAAATTAATTAATAGACGGATGAACACAACAATTTAATATAATTAACCAATATTATCCTTGTATTAAAATAACAATAATTATTTGTTTTTGATAAGAACATTGTATTTAAATCCACCTACAAGATATTATACTCAGACCTACGAATATTGAAAATTGGTAAGAATTAATAATGGTAAAAAAATAGATACCTAATCATTTTTTCAATAAAAATTATTTTACTAGGTTTTGAGTCCGTATACATAAGAAACGAAAAATAATTGAATTTTTATTGTTTTAAAGTATAACAGAAATATTAAATTATAGATTAGAAAAATAATTCCATTATTTTCTTCTGTTATATGTATAATACTATTCTTTCCATCTCAATGTGAATTTCATTCACTATTTTTTCTATATTAGTGAAATTTAATTTAACCTGTCACATAGTTTGCTGAAATTCTTTTAGAAACAAATTACTAAATTAATTTTGAATGCGGTATAACTTATGATTTTGCATGCTTGCATAACTTATATTGAAGAAAAGTTTTTTCAAAGAATTTACCGGATTATCTTTGAAAATGATGTTATTTTCTAGAGTACTTTCGATTTTCAAAAATATCAATTAACTAAATTTAAAATATAGGTTTTTTTTTTAAACTTTTGAGATTACATTACTGTAAATTTTAAACTTCCATACAAATTGCTCGAGTTCAGGATTTTGATACTCGGGAGAGTTCTAAAAGAAACGCTTTGCATAAGACAGAATAGATCTGTGTAGGATCCCTGCATTGTTACTCTAATTCGCAGCTTTCAAATTTTCGATAAGTTCATATAAGATAATCATGGGAACAATATTTAGAATAAGGTAATTTAAATTTAAGTAGGAATTTCGTTCAACCTTTATTACAATCGGAATTTCAAATTTAGGGATATTTTTTTACACGTCCTTATTTATATTTCGAACAATTTTACAAATTACATTAGAAATATTAAATGCCTAAAATTTCATTCTCTCAACGAAATAAAAGGCAAAAAAAAATTTTTTAATTTTATTTGCTACAAAAACTCAAATATTTTAGAACACTTTTTGGGTAAAACAATTAATTGGCAATCGAAAACCAAAACAAAACAAAAGCAGAAAAAGAATTTTTCTTTTTCTAATTTAATTTTTTTATTCTTAAAATTTTTCATGTTATTGAAAATGTTTATTTTATTTGAATTTTATTCGAAATTCAAAATAAAAAAAAAAATTTTTTTGAAGAATTCAATTTTGGGAAAGTGTTCAAAGCGAAAGAATGAGATAGAAAGTTAACAGAAGTGTAAATACAAATTAAAAAGTAAAAATTGAATATATAAGAATATTTGAATTTGCTTTAATAGAAATTTAGGATTAAAAATGATGAAAATTAATTGAATTTTTAGCTCTTAGCTCTTTTTCCTTTTTCTTTTGTCCATTATCCTTTTATAATCTTAAATGGGATTGATAAATCCTATCGTCATCGTAAATCATGAATTGTTATTATAATTTATTTTGTTGTTTTTGTTCCATTGTATTTATTCAATATTTTAATCCTTTGAAATAATTTCTCTCAAGGGTGTTATTATTAAAAATGAGGGAGAAAATAAAGTAGAAAAAAAACAAAGTTTCCAGTTAATTGAAATTGATTTATATTTGAATTTATAATTGTTTAAAGGGGGAAATAATTACAATTTATATTTTTTTGTTAATTTATCGATGATGATTGAATTTAAATTCGGTGTTTTTCTTTTTAAAATATTTTGTATATAGCTTATTATATATATGCGAAATAAAATTCTTTATTATTATTTCATTAAAGTTTTTATTTATTTAATATTCTACATATATATAGGAGCAAATAATTATGTATGTACTTGCTCATGTATATTATGATTAATAAATTTTCATTCAAAATTATATATGTATGTATAAAAAATCATTCAACTTGAAAATAAAATATACGATTATGTAAGTACTTATGTACCTATGTACATATGTACTCGTATATAAGTATGAATAAGGGAAAACGAAATAAGAATTTTCATTTTATTCTATTTATTTTATATTAACTGTACAAAATTACATATGCGTTATATACAAGCATATGTTATGTATTTCAGTTAATATATGAAAAAAAGGATATCCGATTAAATAATACATGGTCATTGGATATAAAAATGAGAAGGGCAAGCTGGATTATCCTATTTCATATAAGCTGTTCTTTTTTTTTTTTGTAAAATTTTATCTTATTCTCATTTATTTCTACATATATATGTACATATATCTAAATATTCTACGGTTACAAAAATAGATATTCGACAATTTAGAATATGTCATTTCTACAATAAAATGAAAAAAATATAGGAAAATAAAATCGTAAAAAGTTTAACATTGAGCTTACAGCGTGTGTCATTTCATGTTTAAGTTTTTGCTTAATACAAACGTACTCATTTGAATAAAATTTCCAATTAACAGTTTATGATTTGAAAAATAATTCACAGATTTCAATTTCAATTATAAGTATGGAAAAATTTTCTTCACTTCTATAAAATGGTAGGTTCTCTTTAAACCTGGTGTTCACTGCAAAAATTTTCTTACAAATATTTTAAATACCATGTATGTATGTGTACAATTGGTACCTACATTTTTATTTCTCTTATTTTAGTCTTATTCTTATTTTTTTTCGAACCCTGATTTTGATATATTACAAATCATTTTACAATTTCACTAATATCCTGTAAATTGAGATTTTCTACATGATGATTTTCCAACCATTTGTTCTGTTCGTTTGTGTATGTGATTTTTTTGAGGATGTATTCATGAAGAAAATAACATTTGGAATGAAAAAAAAAATTATTCATATATTAAAAATTCTATAGAATTAAGGATTTTTCGGTGTTTTTCCCCTAACAAAAAAATAATTGGAAATAAATAAATTTTTTTAAATAGAATTGCTCTTAAATTTTTGATGAAATTTTAATACATTAAGTACGAGGTTCATTCATATACGAGTATGTACAGAATTGTATGGTATAGAGATGTATGTCAGTGTATGTGTGAATATTCGTTCCTCAGAAATTTCACGTTATAAAATGTTTTTTTTTATTAAACAAAAAAATTCGAAATCAAATTGTAATTTTGATGGTTTTTGGTTTCGTTCACGTTTGTCAATTATGATTATTATCGTGAAAATAAAACAAAACTCACCGCATAATTTGGTTTTTTTCTCTGTGTTATGATTATTTTTTAATTCTTATTTAAAAAGTGTAAAATAACAAATTTTTTTTTTTTTTCAAATTTAATAAAACAAAATTTATAAAAACGAACAAATTATTGATGTTTGAATAGCATGTTTGATTTGAAGAACAACACATTTATAATGTTGTTATACAATGTTTGAGTGATGTTTGAATTCATTTAAAAATTTTTTTTATTTTATTTTTGAAAATTTATATCTAGATAGGAAAATATATCTATTTCTAATTCTCTCCAAAGAAATCAAGTAAGTAATTTTAGCAAGCGAAATTCTTCACTTCATACCAGCATTAATTACCATCATCCAGAACCAGAAAAAAATAAATTTCATTTGATATTTCATATCTTAATCCTTTTTAATTAATAATAACTAATTATACAAGATCACTGTTATTTATTTCGAAGTAAATGTGAACTTTTTTTAATTGGTATTATATAGAGAAAATTATTTCTATATATGGATCCATTGTTTGAAAATTTTCAAAAAAAAATTTTTTTCGATACCTTCCTTATTTGTTTTTGTTATAATAACGTATGTTGAATTTGTTCTGTATCCGATTAATTTTTCTTATAAAAATTTTAATACAATTCGTAAATTCACACGGAATCCGTTATGCTCGTTTAAAAAAAAGAAAATTGTTCCTGTACTTAAAATCTAATAATACTAAAATAAGGCTACTAGTAGCATACGGCTATCGTATATGCCTCAAAGTTTTATTCCAAATTCCAAAGTTTTATTCTAAATGTTTTGTGTAAAAACGTCAATCACATAATTTGTAATGACAAATTTATAATTTTCTGCTACCGCTCTCGGATACCATTCAGGCAAATCGTTCGAAAAACAATTTAATTGGAACTCTATGAATTTCATGAGTTTCAAAATATTATGAAAAAAATTTAATTATTTTCAGATCGCAACTTTTTACCATTGAGTGATTGTTTTTTGTTCAGTTAGTTCGCTTCTCTACAATAATATTTTATATGTTAAACAAATTGCTTTATTGTAAAAATTACAGCATAGAATTTAAATATTTATTTAAAATTTTCAATTTATAAAGCTGAATAAAGTTTTTGGTTTTTTTATTTTGTAATTTTATTTTACGTAATTTAAAGTAAAAAATTTAATTTTATAATTCCTGACAATTTTTTAAAAATAATTTCTAAAGTATTTATGAATTTATTATTTGAAACACTATTGCTTTTTATATTTGAATATAATTTTTAGCTAAACTATATAAATATTGTCTAGATTCTTTATGAGATTCTAGTAAAAAAAAACGCTATTATTATACTCGTACTTACAACATAATTTTCCAAAAAACATAATATCCTTTAATATTTAAGTATGTAAAATATTTTTTTAAATATTTTTTTTTTATGTACATAATTAAAAAAATGTATCATCCACCATTTTGTTGTGTTGTTTTGTCACCAAAAAAAAAAAAAATCCATTATATTTTTCACAGTTACATGAAGAGAAAATCGCGGCAATTCAAGAAAAATTGGAGTTATCTGAACAAAAATTACAGCAACAAGCCAAATTACCTGAAATGGAAGAACAATTAAAGGCCCGTATGGAAGCGTTAACTCAGGTAGGAAATAAGGTAGGCAAGGGAAACCAGAAATGTCAAATAAGATGTTTTTTTTCTCTCTTTTTTTTTCTCGCTCTCTTATATTTTTGACTTTCGAAATCACACACCCACACGCATAATTTGTCTCATCATGTTGTCTCATTTCGCAATGTCAACTTACGTCATCGAACAAAATCAAAATAACAAAAAAAAAAAATCAAATCAAATTTCAACCCATACATATTCAATTAATGACATGATGTATATTTATTTCTGAAATATAATTACGAATATAATAATATACAACAACGTCAAATATACAACATGTATGGATAAAAATAATGTTAACATATGAACAACAACTACAACAACTGTCAAAAAAATTTATTAAAAAATATGAAAAAAAAACACAAACAAATTGCAAAAACAAAAAAAAAAATACTACTTGCGATAATATTCGAAAATCATTCGAAATTGTCAATTCAATCAAAACAAAACTGTTCATAACCTCACTTTTTGCAATTGCAGAAAAACGTAAGATTTTATTTCATTTTTAGCAAAACAAAAAAAAAAATATTTTGACAATAGAATTTTTAATTAATTAAAAAATGTGTGCTTATTCAACTTTTTTGAATTTTTTCGTTTTATAAAAAGATTCACTTACCTTTCTAAAATTTTATTTATTCGCTCTTAAAAGATATAATTAATATTTTTTCTCTATAACAATGGTTTCTTTCAAAATAATTTTAATTTTTTTTTAAATTCTTTAAAGAAAAAGTTGAATTAGTACACAAAATTTAATTATAATTAAATTATTTTCTAGTGAAAAAAAACACGTAAAGTTCCGTAGATATTTTTTTGTTGGTTCTTTATTAATAATTGTTCCTTAGAAGGAAATGCAGTGTGAATATTCGAAGTTTAAAGTTTGAAGATAGAAAATTGCACCAACTCAAAATGTCAAATTGCAAAAACAGAATTTTTTTTAGAATTGTTTTTTGAATAGTTTTTTTTTTAAATGTCATATTGTGCCTGAAAAATTTGACATTTTGTTTTTTAAAATGTTATTTATTTTTTTTTGTTTTGGCACCTACAATTTTGGTAGAAATTCACGATTTTTTTAAATTCTTTTTAAAGATTTTATTTTTGACACATTTTTCATTCATAAATTGTTGTAATTCTTTCTTTCTTTGTTTTATTCCGCAGTGAATTTAAATTTTTAGAAGTCAAGCTTTCAACTGGTTTTGTATCTTTGATTTTCAATTACATAAATAAATTTTCTACTGAGACATTTACTTTTAATTAAAATGGGAACTAATTAAAAATTACCACTTTCAATGATATAGTTTCTGTACTCTAATTTTTAAAACGAAAACACTTACGCGAATATTTAAAAAGCTTACCACTGAAGTGTTGTCAAAGATGCAAAATTATAATTTTATTTGAAAAATTTATCTAAGAAATTTAATATATATTTTTTTTTGTTTTTTTTTTGGCTGTTTTTATAAGTAAATAATTAGAAATTTCAGAAATGAATAAAATAATTAAAAAAATAAAAATGCATGATTTTGTATTTTTTTTATATAAATTTTTAGCTGTTATTTTATTCCAAAAATTGTATTTAAATTTATTATAAGTGTGTATTTTAAATAGATTTCCGAATTATATTAAAAAAATATTTTTAACTCATTTTAAAACTCAACAATGATTTAACAAATGATTTGAAAAAAAATTATGAAAAAATCTTAATAAAATAAAATGAAACCATCTGTAAGACTTCAAAGTAAAGTACCCTTTGTTTTTAAAAATAATAATGAAAATTACGTACCGACATTTTTTGTTCATGTTACTGTCATAAACAAAAATCTACAAATGGAGTAGATAATTTTTCCACAGTTTTCTACTAAGACTGTCACAATTGTGCTCCTGATCATTCTATTGATTAATTTTTTATTCTCCTTTATAAATCTATTTTCGATCTCTATTATACAATTAAAGTTTTGATTTCAATTTAGAGTAAAAATATATGTAAAATTGGGAAGAAAACAGAAGCAACTAATTATTTTAATATTTAAATAAAATTATTCTAGAATCATTTCCAATTTTTGTACGTTAATGAAAACGTAAGTAAATAATTTATTTTATTACTTAGTATTATACATACACGTATATTAAAATATTTTCAATAGAATTTCATAAATTTTATAAATTTATTCATTCATGCATTTTTCCATCTTAATTAAGAATACACACACAAAACACAAAAAAATAATGTATGCTGTTATAAAGCATACTTTAATATTACAGCGGGAAAAAATAATTCTCCGCTACACGTCAAACTTTTTAGTCATTAATGATTATAGTTGTGAAAGGTAATTAGCATACCTTCATACATTAAAAGATAACGGGTTAATTGACAACTCATGTTTATAATATTTTTATTATTCATCTTTTACAAAATGAACAACGATTCTGAAACGAATTGCACCAATGGGTTAGAAGCGCTTTTAAAACTAAAAAAAAATATCTAAAAATGCTTGTTGTTGTATTAAAAAATTTTCTTAAAAGTAAGCCTAAAAGTAATTTTAAACAGGAAGATGTTGAAAAATTTTATTCAATTTCCCAAAAATCAATAATTTTATACATAGCATATTTATTATCGCATTTATAAAGCACTTTTCATTTCGAATTTTATTTGCAACATTAAGTGCAATTAATGGTAGCAAAAAAATGCAAACTACAAGCACAAACACATAGATATTTAGCACAATTTGTTACAAATTATATAATTGGAAGTAATTGATGAGTCTCTTTATAGATTTGAACTTCATTAGTGATATAATCTTGACATGATAAATATAAAACGTTTTCAATAGATTTTATTATATTTAGTTTTTTTACCGATTTTAAATTATAATGGAATCGCAAGTGCCAAAAATCATATGCTCAAATGCAATATATTAATCGAAATTATAATAATCGTCCTAACACTTAATATTTATAATTTGGGCACGCTCTGATCATATTGAAAGAGAAAAATCATGCTTAATCTTAGAGCAATAATTGAAATTATTGCCATTCAAAGACTTTTTTAATAAATTTTAGATTTATATTTTGTTTTTTAAAAACTAATTAAATTTTCCAAACCTTTCCTACTTAGACGCTTTGTTAAAGTTACAAGGTTTAACTCTCAGAAAAGATAATTTTGGTATTTACTATTACAACTTAAAAATTATTATTGTTATATTACGTCACTGACGAGCTCTATGAAATCAGCAACTTTTTTTTCGAGCACATAAAATTCTAAATCAGTATGCTATTTATTGTCCTATTGATAATAAAAATGAACAAGAATTTTTAGCTAAGAGCCTACCGAGATAAAAAGAATCTTTTTTCTACACGAATTTTTTGATAGATTAGAATTTGTACGTTTGTGATACAAACACTTAAAATATTTCAGTTTTATTTTATGTACCCGATATTGTTTATGCACTTAATGCCAATACATATTTTGAAAAGCAAAACCAAGAAATTAAATCATATAAAGAAGACTCTTTATTACTTCCTTATTAGGTTACCTTATTATTACCTAACAGTTAGGTACATAAAATATTTAATAATAAAAACAGCCAAATTATTTCACTGTTTGAACAATATTGAAAAAAAAATTATTCAAATATCATTTATAATATTCAGTAAAACAAAAAATATATTATAAAATTTTTTTTTCTTTTTTTTTTTATATATATTTTTTAAAATTTAGTTTATAATTTTTACTGCACCTTACATTCCTTTAATATATCCATTAAATGGAATTCAAATTACAACAAAAAGAGATTTTTTCACTTTCACTTTCTCATGGTTAAATAAAAAAAAATATTCATCGAACAATTCCTTCATTCCATTTCTACATTCATTCATTTATTCATTTACTCATTCGTTCATTCATTCATTTATTCATTTGTTTTCTCATTCATTTATTCATTGATTAATTTCACTTTAATTTAATTTAAAAAAAAAAATTTATTTGAAAAAATTAATTCGAATATAATTTTACAGTTACTCAAAATTTTATTATGAAAGCAGCATAGAAATCAAAAAATTTTCCTTTAAAAAAAAAGTGAAAATAATTTTTGTAAAAGAAAAATTAAACTTAAATTAAATTACATTCATTTACATTGTTTTTTTCTTTATTCCCATATTCTAAAATAATTTTAATTTTATTTTTAATTAAAGTATATATAAAAAAAATAATATAATAAATAAAATATTAAATACATTACATAATAAAACCTACTTTTTGAAATGAAACCAGGTAATGAAAAAACATCTTTTTTGACACACCTTGCACCTTATTATTATTTTTAAGTTTTTATATTTTTCCAATATTTGATTTCTTTTTAAGTTTCTTATTTAAGTTTAGAATTTATTGAGTTAAGTTTTCTTAAATATATATATATATATATACACCATTTTATTTATTTATTAAATTATCGCTCCGACATTATTTAGTCGTACATTTTTTAAAGTCGTTCTGTGAAAAATTTGTTCAAAAAAGTTGGATATTTGTTGTTTTTGTATTGTACGTTTTTTTTAACGTTTTTAATATTTTTTCGAAGTGAACAAATAGCCACTCAATTTTTAAATTTGTAAATTTACACTAAATTTTGCTTTACATATGAAAATTTGTCATTTACTACAATGTAATGGCATAATTTCTAATTTTTTTTTTGAGTTGAGCAACATCTCAGAATGTAGAAGCGTTGCGGCAATATTAATTACGGGGTTAAAATGAATTGTTAACCCTTAAATAATTTTTTTGTAATTTTTTTATGTACGACAAGTATAATTTCGGGGCAATAAAATTATTATCTTAATTAATTTTTACTATTACATACAAATATAATTACAATCATTTTATTTATAATATATTGAAAATGTTTTGAAAAAAAAAAAATAATGAGTGAGTTTAAAACTTTTAATTGTTAATATTTAATTACAATTTAAATATAGGAAAAAAATCTGTTCTATTGTAAATACTTTCATATTAAATTGCAAAAAAAAATGAATTATATAAAAAATGCATGAATTTTTAATAACTGAAATAATAAATTATAAAACAAATAAAGTAAAAGTTACCCGTCCTATTTAACCCGAACTTAAAATTTTGTTTATTCTGAAAAATGCCATAAATATTGTAAGAAAAATACTAATCCCGCAAGTTTACTTAAAAAAAAATTCTGTCCAAAATTCCTAAATAAAAATCAATTTTTTTTTTCATAATTCCATTGTTGCCAGATATTTTGATTTTATTATAAAATCCCATTTGTTTGAAAACAATATGCTTAAATATAAATTTATTTTTTTTTATTTTAAATGTTTTGTAACTATTTTGGTGGTTTTTACACTAAATTTTTGAATTTGTCTAGAAATTTTCGAATTTTTTTTTTAATTAACAAATTTGTAATAATAATTTTAATTATTATGTGTTTCTAATATAAATGTGTGTTTACACTTTTAAGTTCTAAATTTTTGATTTTATTGTGTAAAAAAAAGTATAAGAAATCTTAGAAATTTAAGCTATATGTTATTTAAATTTTCTTGTTCCTTTTTTTGTAATGCTACAAATAATGGTTTAAAATTATTAAAAATTACTGTTTTTAACATAATATTTGTGTTAAATGAATGTATAATTAATTCTTCTTTTATGATTTTGACCTTTTTTCAAAATTTTAAGAATAACATAAAAAATCTTGGTTTGTGGATTTATAAATGAATTTTTTTTTCGAAATTTTCTAATTTTACTAATTTTACTAGCCCCTTCTTATAAAAATTACTTTTCTTTGAATTGATTTATACTTTATTTAATTTTTGATTCAAAAAAATAAAAATTTCAAAATTCTAAATTTAAATTAAAGAATTTCTATTCTTTATATTCACTATATTTATTAAATATGCAATAATACAACAACAAAAAAAATTATATAATAACTTCTTCTTGTTTTTTATTTTCTTTTAATTTAATGAAAATCCAAAAATTGCATAAATTTAGGCACAAGAACGTCATGGTTCGGCTGAAGATCGTATCCAAAGATTAGAAGCTACATTAGAAGAAAAGAATGCTGAAATATTACGCCTTAACCAAAGACTTAAAATGAATGAGGAACATAATCAGCGTCTCTCATCCACCGTTGATAAATTATTATCAGAATCAAATGAACGTTTACAAGTACATTTGAAAGAACGGATGCATGCGTTAGATGAAAAAAATAATTTAACACAAGAATTAGAAAAGGCAAGAAAAGTTGCAGAAGAATTACATCAAGAGAAAACAGATATATTAAAAGAATTATCAAAAACACGTTTAGAAATTGAAAATTTCAAAAGGCAATTACTGCAACAAGAATTCGCATATAATATACAACAAACAGAAGCATTAACTAGAAGTTTATCACCAAGTAGTGTTCTTGATGGCACTGCATTTTCAAGGAGTACCTCACATACTAGTTTTGATACACATTCTTTACGACGTGCAAAATCACGTATGGAAGAGAATGAACAATATGCTAGAAGTCTAGCAGAACAGGTATAATTAAATTATTAAAGTAAAAATATTTCAAAAGTTTCTTAATCATTTTCAATGCATTCAATTAAAAAATTAATTTTTAAATAAAATAGGAATGGGGAAAATTACAGCAGGCGCATGTATTATCAAATGTTCAACAAGCATTCGATTTATCAGGCGAAGATCCAGAAGTTGTTGATGGATTATTTAATACAGGGGAAATTATGTCACCAACAGGTCATACAGATGCTCAAACACTTGCAATGATGTTGCAAGAACAATTAGATGCTATAAATAATGAGATTAGGTATAATAAATAAAATTTGTCTAAATCAATAATAAATTTCAAAGAAAATTTACTGTTAAATACAAAATAATGTTTTTTTTTCCTAAATTGAATAAATCTTTATCTATCGAAAATATTTTTAGGTTAATACAAGAAGAAAAGCAATCAACAGAAGCACGTGCAGAAGAGTTAGAATCAAGAGTTGGTAGTTTAGAGCATATGCATTTATTAGCACGTGGTAGATCAATGGATCGTCAAAGTCCAGAATTAAGTGGACGTAGTACACCAAATAGTCCAAATAGAGATTACTTACATAAATACCATACGGTGAGTTCTGATTGCATGAAAACTTGAAGGAAAAGAAGAAAATATTTAAAGTTTTTTATTTTATTTCTTGATTTTTCAAGTTTAATAAAAAAATAAATAATTTTCATTTCTTTTATGTGATTGTAAAGAAAAAATTTCTAACTTTTTCTTATAATATGAAATTTTCTGACTGTATAGAGGGTTTTATGATTTTTGTTAAATGAACAAAAATGGATTTTCTTTCTGTTTAATTTTTAAGAAAAAAAAAAAATAATGAAAATTTTTTAATTCTATTCATTTCTTGTTAAAAGTTTTTTTTTTGTTTTAGATTAAATAAATTTAATTAAATTGGTGCATTGTGTCTAGTGAAAAAATTCACTTTCAAAAACAAAATTAGAAATATTTAAGTTTATTTGAAATGTACAATATAATTACAAATTAGTTACTTGCACACTAAATTAATTATTGTAAAATAACGATTAATTAAAAATTTAATTAAAGTTATGAAAACAAAAATATGTTTTAAAATTTCTAATATTGTATATTTCAAATAAATTTTGTTTGTATTTTTAACAAATTCTTTTTGTTTTTAACTTAATTTTGTTGTGTTTTTTTTCAATATGAATAACAAATCTTTAAAACAATTGAAAATATTGTCATTTCATGTTTTAAACAAAGAAAAAAATAGAAAAAAAAAATTATTGTCTTTATTAATTTTTATTTGAACTCTTACATTACGATAAAACCTCATTTATAAAATTTTTTATTTAATACTTACTTACTTAATAAACATATAATACAAAATCAAACAAAAATTAATAAAAAAATATATACATATATAAATATAATTAAATGCGAAAAAAGCAAAGAAACAAAAAAACAAACCAAAAAAAAAATATAAAAACAATTTACAGGCCCCAGCCTCAATGTCTCCAGCTCATCTACATCAATATGCGGCCTCTTTAAGTCCAGGCCAATTATCTGAATCTCTTCCTTCGAGTCAGGTATTAAATATATAATTTAATTGCTTTATATATTTTTTACCAAAAAAAAAATTAAAATATTTTTTTTATTTTATTTTATTTTAATTATTTAAATTATATTTAATATTAAAATTCGATACAATTCAATTTTAAGAAAACAATTGCATAGATATTGCTTAAACAATTATTTATAATAAAAAATTTTTGGATAATATTTTTATTAATCAAAAATAATCGAAAAAAAAAAACAAAATTTATAATATAAAATAGTAAAATATCTTTGGTTTTTTTCTTATATATATATTATATAAAATGTATTACATTAAAAAATATACATATAAATTTAAGCACAATTTCATGTTAAACACATAAAAAACATTTATTTTCAATTATATAGAAAACATACATTTATATATAAAAACCAAAACCACAAATTATTCATAATTTAAATACAAAATATGAGTTTTTAATTTATTTTCAAAATTCTCAAATATTCAAAACCTTCCTCAATATCAGTAGATATTTTTGTTTTTCGGAAAAGCATGTATAAACTTAAAATTGTACAAATTTCCCTTAAAAAAAAATAGGAAAATCCAAAATGTATATTGTTACGTAATGTACATATATAACATAATATAGATGTGTTCTTTGTCAACATTTAATTTTTTTAATTAATTTTAAAAATGTTTTAAATATTAAAATGTTTGTATGCATGTCAAAATTATCTTATAACTAAATTCTTGTGAAACTATTAATTCGAAAAGGTCTGTACATTTAAAATTTATTTTTAAAAAATAAGAATGATTTCTTTTCAAATTCAAAATTTTTAAATTTTATATAAAGTAATTAATAATATTATTTCTTACTGTTCTAAACTTTAAATTGAAAAACTTTATTTTTCTATGAAATTTCTTTTACTAACTTTAAAAAGTAAATAATTTCAAGTCAAAATATGTTTTTACCAAATCTTTTATAAAAAAAAAATTAATGATTAAATTTATTTTTTTTATTCTTACATTTGTAATATTATAATTCTCGTATTAAAAAAATTACTGATCCATAAATTATATATAGTAATAAAAACTATATTACATACTATTTCAGCAATAAAATTTTAAATTTTAGAAAAACAAATTATTAACTTCATTCAATATACTCGTAAAATAATTCATTCAATTTGTTTTCAATTGAATATTCAATTATTTAATTCTTAAATATATCAAGATAAATTCACAGAACAGTAATTCAAGAAATGCATAATTTAATAAGAGAAAATATAACTTCCTTTTATATATATTTAATTTTTCCCCATGTCTTTACAATTTCTGTATTGCATTCATATTACATGATTTCATAAATTTATTTTTAATTTTATATATTATGTTAAAATATCGCACCCTTAGTAAAATAGCGCAATAACTCAAAATATTGATATAAAATAGTAAATTTTTGATTTAAGTACTCAATTACGCTAAAAGAGTAAATTAATTCTATTTTTACCGACCGTATTGTGTAAACAATAGGTAGGTTATGTGATGGCAACAAATTTTGCATATCGAGTTTTCGGTGGGGATGCACTTCTCCATAGTAGGGAAGTGTAAATAAACTATTTTTAGCAGTCTGTCGGTCTGTCGGTCTGTGTGTACGCGTGTATCTCAAGTTTGGCTGAACCGATTTTGATGAAATTTTATATGTAAGTTTATTTCCACCATGGCACGGATTGATCAACTTTTGGTATATATCAGGCCTCGGGAACTGCACTTTTTAGCGGGTCTGTTTTACATTTTTGAACATTTTGAAGAAAATATTCAATCGATTTACTTGAAATTTTATATGTAAGCTCAGTTCGACGTCCGCGAAACCTCCAAACTTTTGGAAAAACTCAGCAACTGGGCGTTTACTACGGACCAAATATACATTTTTGCGTATATAAAAAGAAATAATCGACCGATTTCATTTAAATTTAATATTTAAATTAATCGTATTGCAACAATGAACATATAAATTTTTTGGAAAGATCGGGGCTCGAAAACTGATCTGCGGGCCGATTTTACATTTTTCACCATATCTACGGAACGAATTGATAGAATTTTTCGAAATTTGATATTTGAGTTCTGGTTGTTACCGAAACTAACTGGCGAGCATTTCAGGGAATTCGGGTGGCACAAAGCGAAACTCTACTAAGAGCCAAATTTACATTTTTCTAGGTATGTTAACTATAAGCTTACTAATGTCCTAAGAATTGGAAAGAAGGATTTAACAGACATTTTTATAATATTCTGTAAAACTTTCACTTAACTAGACAGTACACATTGCGGTCCGTTATGTGCTGATCAAATCAGATTTTTTTTTAGTACAATCGTTTTTTCTTCTTTCTTTTGTATAATTCTGCAATATTTTGAAATTTTGCCACATAATTCTCGTATTTTAAGTGAAATGTTTTCAAAATTCAATTTTTCTAAAGTAATTTGTAAAAAAAAATGTGAAAACCCAAATTATTGCGGTTGAACACTTATTATTTTCTTCTTTACGATTTAAAACAACAAAGAAATACAACTAAAAGCCAAAATTTTGCCGTATTGGGTAAATCTATTAATAAAAGAGTTATACAACATCTCAAAATTTAAAATTTCATTACTCTCTTGGATTCAAGTTAAATCTCTGAATTTGCTCTACATTTTGTACTAAGTAAACTAAAATAACAAGAATGGTTTGCCTTTATGTCAAAATATGGTATTTTCATACCAAAAAGAAAACGCCAAACTTTTACTATGAATGAATTTACTTTCAAGCTACCAAATTTCGAAATGATGCGTTATTTATCTTAAGGTGCGCTATATATTATACTTGTAAATATTCATATAGTACAATTTAAAAATCAATTCGAATTCATAATCCTCATTGTTTATAATCATTTATTTCATTTACTTATTTTATATACTATCATTCATAAAAATGAAATATAACAAAAATAATAATAATAATATACATAAGTTTAACCTAGTTTCAAACACATTTTGTTACTCATACCCTTATTATATTAACCTATATATACATATAAATACGCATTTGTTCGATACTTTGTGTAACATTTATTAAAAAAAATGTATGTTAGCTTATGAAAAAAAAATCATTTAAATCTGTACATATCATACCATGTATACTTATATAATTTAAATTTCTTAATCTACATTCATAATAATAATAATCATAATTTCCTAGGGAAAAAATTGTATGTTTTAATGTGTTCCAACCATATAAGCATGAAATGTAAATAATAATGTAATGCCATATTACCATATTCATACATCATACATGCCATATTCCATACTTTAGTTATACACATTTGTACCTAATATAATTTAAAATTTAAAATATTTTTTATATAGGATACTTTTATATTATAAAATCTACGTTTCCTTCATCATATTTTTTTTTCTGTATTCTTCAATGAAATAAGAAATTTCCACTTTTTGTTTGTTTATTTTTTCTTACCACCCTCCTCCCCCATCTTATATTAAATATGTATTTATCATTTTTGTTTGTTATTATACTTGAAATGCTGGTAGACCCTTTAGTAATATGGAAAAAAAAATGTTAAAGTTCTGTTGTATATGCGGAGATCTCTGGTTTTATTTACTTACTTTTTTTTTTGAAACGTATCCTTTTTTAAAAATGAAAATAAATCCTTAAGTACATTTGAAATTGATATCGGAAAGATAATGTTATTTTTTTTGCATTTTTTTCGTTTTTGTTTTTAATATTTTGTTACATTTTAAGTACTATGTATAGTTTTTCAAATATTATATTTAAAATGTATCATTATTATAAAAAAAAAATAAGGAATAAAAAGAAAAAAAAAACGAAAGAAAGTCATAAATTCTTAAAGGTTGAATTAAAATTGATGAAACGAAATAAAGCGATTGCAAAGATAGTAAATAAAATAAAAAATATAATAAAAAGTTTATATTGTATAGCAATTTTACATAAAAGCAATTCACAAAATAAAATACACAAAATAATTACTTTAGTTTTTAGGGAAATTACTATTCAATTGCATAATATTTTTATAACCTGATGCCTGATTTCTTAAATTTAAAATATTTTAAATTTACACTTTCCAAAACGATTATCATAATTCATTTGAAGGACAATTGTTATATTAAAACAATATAAACGAAGCAATGTTAATCTTTCTTATCAGTAATTTGATATTTAATTAATTTAACAAATAATTAAAATGTTTTACTAATAAATTTCGATTTATTTTAAAGTATAGAAAAATTTGAAGAAAATTGAATATAAAGTATTTATAAAAACTGAGAATGCTCATTAAATTTGTAATAAAATAACAAACATTTGCCCAAAAATATGCATAACTGCAATTTTCAGAAACAGTACTTAATTTTAACTTACATTTTTTTCTGTAATATCTTCGTTCCATTTGAAATTTATATGGGACATAAAATGTAATTATCTATTTATAATGAATTGTTCACAAGAGAATTTAAGTAGCTTTTAATTCTATGTCAAATTTCTATTATATTTCTTTTTGATCTTAATTATAGAACGATAAATAAATGGTTTCAAAGTAAAAGACAAGAAATAATTCAAAATAATCCGATTATCATCTATAGAAATTAAAAAAAAATGTTAATAAAATAAGTACATGCAATTGCATTAATTATTATTGAAATAGCTACGTGATTTAACAAAAGAAATTTTAAAAAAAAAATTTTAAAAACAAAGATTGTATTAGAATTTACTTGAAATATCAAATTAAATCAAGATTAAATTCTCAATATTTCCACATTTCAAATTGAATTGTTGAAAAGTATTTAGGACTTTTCTTTTTACATTTTATCTTGGTTTTTAAAAAAGGATAAGAATTTTAAAAGATCTTTTTTTCTGGAAGTCTAAATAGATTTTAATTGAAATCAGTTTACTTTGAATTATTATTACTATTTAATTATCGGTAAAATAATTTGTTCTTATTCATATTTAGAAGGATCTAAATTTATAGAATCGCTGTAATCTCTATATACAATAAATTTATAGAATCTCTGTAATGTTTATAGTACAAGAAACATCTAGTATTATTTAAAATCATATTATGTATAAACATATTCAAGTTCAGTTTGAACTATTTTGAAGTTTCAATTCAAAGTAAAAAAGTTTCCTCTTTGTAAATCTAATTCATTTGAAGAATCTACAGTTTACTTTGTCAAAAGTTGACAGAAAGACATTAATTTTTAGATATTTTTAAAACTGAATAAATTAACTTATGAGAAATCTACAGAACTAAGGAAATTATAAGTAGAATTGAAATCTATAATCACTCACATTATCAAAACTCAAATTTTTAATTTGTAATATTTTTAATTTGTAAAATGTTCAAATATAGCATGAATCCGATGTTTTCCATTATTTCAACATGTTTCACTCATTTAATACCATTTGAATCAATTTCAATCCATTTAATAATGTTGAAATGTAATTTATATATTTTTTACAAAGTTATAATATTAATATAAGTAAATTAGTTTTATTTTTGTTTTCGATTTTTATACTTAATTAATGTTATTTATGAATGTTACTTTTTATATTTTTATATTATGTTTTCCTTATTAATATTATTGATTTATAACTATTTAAATTTTATCCTGTGACATTTATACATAAAAAATATATATATATAATAGTCTCAGGATAGTATTTCTTATTTTCAGTTTGAAATTTATGAACTTTTAAGGACTTCACAAATTTAAAAAATTTAAAAAAAAAAAACAATTATTTGATGTGTATTATATTGTGTTTTGTCTTGTCTTCCGTAGCTTAATTACAACTACTTTTTTTAAAAGTTGTTATTTTATGTGCACACACAACTTAACAAGTTATATTATCATCAACATACTACTACTGATTAATACTACTACTAAATAACTAATAAAAACTTGTTATAAAACACAAGAAATTTTTGCAAGAAAAAAAAAATTAAAGTAATGAAAAAATATAATTTTCACTCTTTCTTTCATACAAAATAAATAATTATTTAATAAAATTATAGGTATATAATTAAAATATATACGTTAAAGTTTTAACTTGCTTTTAATTTATCGCTGATTTCATTTCATTTATTAATTTTGTAATTTAATTCATGTATAATATCTAAATAATACGTTAGTTAGTTTTACATTACATACACTTACCTGAATCAATTCAGAAAATCATAATTATCGATTTAATTTAAATTGTTAAATCTTACCTCTGTATGTCGTTTATAAAGAACAGTATCCGGAATCTGGAATCCAGAGATCTATAAATTATATGAAAATAAATTCGGTAAACGTATTTATTTCTTAGAATATAAAATCTTTCAATTATCACTAATCAAAAAAGTTGAATGAATATTCTGTATTGTCAAAAATTGCAAGAACCTATAAACCGGTTTTAAATCTTAAATAAACTGCAAGATAAAACAAATCACAAATTTCGAATTTTTGAAAAATATGCAATATTTTTAAAACTCATTCTTATCATTCTTGCCAACTACCGATATTCTACTTTAAAAGTAAAAAACTAGTTTTATGTCATTATGATTCTGTAATAGTGCATACTGATAGTACTCATCTTCCAAGTTTTACAAGAATCATCCGGCTGCAGCTCTGGTAAACTTTCAACATTACATAATTCGGAATTAGTGACTTTCAGCTCGAAATATTTTTGCATAACTAAATGAAACGTAATAAATTGTTATGGAATAGTTGAATATTTTAAATTTTAGAAACATAAAGATTTTGAATTAAATTCTTAAAAATATTAAAATTAAATATGAACTTTGGGTAGAAAACAGATTTTTGTACAATATTCGGAAACCATACTTGACTATTCAAGCATGATACATGACCATATTTGACTATTCAAGTTATACTCAAATTATCTTTTCTATCATCGATAATTATTGACAAACACTTTCTAATGAACGACAATAAGTTTTATGGTATGAGTATTATCTATCATGCAATACTCCAAAAATGTTCTTATTAATACTTATATAATTTAAACAAAAAAAAAAAATGTTAAAAATTAGAACTACAAAAAATTTTTAATTACACTCCTTTTTTTTGTACATTAACGGTAACTACCTCCTGTCATTCCATATTTTATATTTTCTTTACATTGTCATTGTAAAATGTCACTTTATTCATAATGTGTTTTATTGTTATAGCATGCAATTTTGCTACTCTTGTTCTTTGGAAAACTTAAAATTTTAATCTTATTTGTTGTAAAATAATAAAAATTTAATGAAAAATCGCCAGTTTATAATTAAATATTTAGAAAATTATACATTGTATTCTTATTTTATATAATCTAATTTTAATATTTTCTTTTTCTTTTCGATTTTTTTTTTTATGTTTTTGATTTTCTTTTCTTTGGGGGGAAAAATTTTAAATTACAGCTTAATTTACCAGCATTATCGGCTGATGTTTCTAGAGATGAATTACATGGTATGACGTTAGGACCTGGAGGTGATTCTAGTTCAGGTGGTGCAGCATCACCATTAACGGCACGTTCATTACGTTTAGAGCGCGTTGCTCAAGCTTTAGCACATAGTCAAGAAGAATTAAGAAGGTAAGTTTAAAGAATAGTATTTATATATTACTGTAATATATTTACATATTATGTACATCAATTGTATTCATTATTATCATATTTGCGTTAATTTTATACTTTCCATATTACTTTAAAACAAACAGAAAAATCAAGTATCTTTGCTTGGTAATTAAAAAATAGCATAATTTTAAAGTAAATTTAAGTGAAAAACACAATTTTCCGTTTAATGTGTTTCGAGACATCACATGATTCAAATATATTGTAGTTTTCAGAATTAAGTCAAAGTTGAAATTTGAGTTTATATACAGAAATTACAATATTATCGACTGATATCATGTGATGAATTTAAAAATAAAGCTGAAGATGTTAAAGTACTAAAAATTAAATTTATAAACTTATTCTATTTATCACGTTCTCTTAAATCAAAACTATTTTGTTTAGAGGTTCTATAATTATACGTAATTAAAATTTTCAAAACCGAAATTTTCAAAAACCGATTGTATTTAGTAATTATAATAGCCATTTTTGTATAACCCGGGCGCGTAAAATTTAAAATCATTGAATTTATTTAATTTTATGCTATTTAAATGATATTATTGCCAAAAATTATGAATTTAATATAACTTTGGAATATAATCATTATGCATTAGTTTTTTCAATATAAAAAAATAATATTTATTAATTGAAATTGAATAAAAATTATTAATCTAATTTAATTAAAAATTTATACATATATAATATAGAAATAATTGCTTTCAAAGATAATATTAATAAATTGTTATATTACATAATATGTATAAAACGTTAATTTTTGCTTGAAGTTGAAAGAATATTTCTCGGCGCCTTTTTCTCTTAAGTTAATTTTCATATTTTCATTAAAATTAATTTTTGTAATGTTTTTGCTTTTATATCTACATATATTTCATCATTATGTCATTATAAATAATTTCAAAATTAAATAACATTATTATTTAAAATACTAAAAAAAAAATAAACAAAATAAAAAACAAATCAAAAATAAAATCATTCGGAATTTGTATATTTTAAATCATCACAGAAGATCAATGGGATTGCAGCCTAATCCACCTGGACCAAATAATAATAATTACAGGTTAAGATTAATTTTGTATATTTTGTTTTATTCAAATTAATGCAAAAGCAAAAGAAAAAGTTTTTCTTATTTTTTTTATAAAATATATAGAAGCACACATTTACACAAAACTAAACAAAATAATTTTAATCATAAATTATACACATCCATACATAATACATTTCACTTACATAATATGTAATATATAACATGTAAATACACATTTAACACATCGGTTTTACATAAAAAATATTTAATTAGTTTAATATTTAGTATAATTTTAATCTTTATTTAATTATTACTTTAACTTTAATTGTAAATTGTAAATTTTTTTATTTAATGCAATGATCATACACAATTTGTCGTTTCCGTAGTTTAATGAAATGATCCCATTTTAAAAGAGAAATTATGCAAAGAAAATTTTTTATTACTTAGATTTTCTATAAAATTTCAGTATTTTAAGATTTATTGAATTTATCAACACTTTAAACATAAATTAAGTACAATAAATTCAATTAAATCATCACTGACGATAATTGTATATTGACAATAATTGTAGGTGTAAAATAATTAAAAGAAGTTTATCAATAGCCATTGTCTAACACACCTTACTTTAATCTTTCATATTTAAAATAAAAATTACAAATTTCTAATGTAAGAATTAAGTTTAATTTATTACAATTGGTTGAAGGGTGAAAAAATATATGTGTTTTATTTAAATTTTAAATCTCAACACATCCATTCATCTCATTACTCATATTCATTTAGTCATATCAAACATAATCATTTGTAATGTCATTTTAACATTGTAAGTGTATATTTGGATATTTTGTAAAGTGAATTTTAATAAAAAAAAATCAAGACGTCTGATAAAAAAGTTGATAGATGGCATCAAATTTCGTAAATGAGAAAATGCTACTTAAATGAAAAAAGAAAACATTGATAAAATGACATTATGTCACTTCTCATTTTAAAGGTTTACTAAAACATAAATATGATATAAAAATGTATTATAGAATACCATGCATGTTTGTGTTCTCGCTACCAGTAAAATATCAGTTGAAACAAAAAATGTTATGCACGTTATTAATTTACTTATTTTTAATTTTTTTTTCGGTTAAAAAAAAAAGTATTTTCATTAAATTGAATACAAATTTATTGTTTTCCCTTTTTTCTAATCCTCTTTTTCTCTAAATAATGCTTTATTAATTAAATTTTATATTAAAACAAATATTACCTTCTCTTTCAATCTTACTTTTTTTCGGACGTCATAAACGTTTGTTATTATAATCCAACAAAATAACATTGCAAAAAAAAAAAACAAATTAAAAAACTAACAGGGTTGGGGTTAGTAATTATGGTCCATCACCATTAAGTTCACGTCATGGTAGTCAAGAATCATTAAGGCATTTAAGCACAATGGGTTCAATGAGTTCAATGATGTTACAAACACCAACTTCAACTGTTAGCAGGAGTGACGTGGTAGCCGCTGCAGCAGCACAAAAGAAAAAAGGAATTAAATCTAGTTTAGGAAGATTCTTTAGTAAAAAAGAAAAAGTAAAAGGTGTTAAAGATGCAATGCCCGATGGTTCAGCTAGTATGATGTCGATTGGTAATATTTCACAATATAGTGATGTTGAATCAAATTTCGATACAATGAGTATATCAACATTGAAATTGAGTAGTAAAGTAGACTATGGTAGACAGAAAAAGAAGTAAGTTTTGATTTTCAAATAATACCGAAAAATAACGAAGTAATCATTCCCATTTTTTTTTTTTCATTAAAGGGAACACGATTATCGGCATGACTTACTAGGTGAAGCTATGAAAGCTGGAACACCGTTTGCTCTATGGAATGGACCAACAATTGTTGCATGGTTAGAATTATGGGTTGGTATGCCAGCTTGGTATGTTGCAGCTTGTAGAGCAAATGTTAAATCTGGAGCAATTATGAGTGCTCTCAGTGATACAGAAATTCAACGAGAAATCGGTAATAATTTTTTTGTTAGCTTAGCAATTTCTTTTTAAATTTATGAATTCTCAACAATTTCTTTTTTTTGTGAATTTTAGGTATAAGTAATCCTTTACATAGACTGAAATTACGTCTTGCCATACAGGAGATGGTGTCGTTAACATCACCATCAGCACCACAAACTTCACGCACAACACTTGCCTTTGGTAATATATTTTTTTAATATTTAGTTGAAAAATTTTGAGAATTTTAAAATTTAAAATGATATTTTTATTTTATTTTCTTTTAAGGTGATATGAATCATGAATGGATTGGAAATTATTGGCTTCCTAGTTTAGGTCTACCACAATATCGTACCACCTTCATGGAGTGTTTAGTTGATGCTAGAATGTTAGATCATTTAACCAAAAAAGACTTACGTGGGCAACTAAAAATGGTTGATAGTTTTCATAGAAATAGTTTACAATATGGTATTTCATGTTTGAAACGTTTAAATTATGATCGTCAAATGTTAGAAGAAAGACGAAAAGCATGTGAAAACTCAATTAGTGATGTACTAGTATGGAGTAATGAACGTGTTATACGATGGGTATCCAATATTGGGCTCAAAGTGAGTTGATTTATGTTATTTTATTATTATTTGTTTTTTAATTATACAGTAAAGTTCATTTAATTTTGATACTTTTAAATACAACAATTTACTTTTTACTTTTATAGGAATATGGCAATAATTTATTAGAATCAGGTGTTCATGGAGCTTTAATAGCATTAGATGAAAATTTCAGTGCCAATTCAATGGCATTAGCATTACAAATTCCAACACAAAATACACAAGTAAATAAAATAACATGTATAAATTTTTTCTATTATTTAAATTTTTTAAATATTTTAAAATTTTAGGCGCGACAAACTTTACAATTGGAATTTAATACATTACTCCAAGTTGCCACTGATAGAAGGCCAGAAAATGAACAATTGGATAAATCTTGATCAAACGCCAGTTTGTCTACATTAAGCGATGAATAAAAAAAACTCACCTATAATTAAAGGCAGAGAGTAAAATTGCTAATTTTTTTTATATAAAAATGCAATAAAGAAAAAAAATATCCAAATTAATTAAAAAATTTGATACATCAAGAAATAAGAAAAAAGCATATGAAATATTTTCATTAAAAAACAAAATTTTTTTTGTTATACAATAGTATTATTGTAAGAAAAAAAAAACAACAAACAAAAAACAAAATAAAAAATTATAAAAATACAAAAAATTTAAAAACATTCATTGAAGGCTGAGAAATATTTCACAAATTTATGCATTAACAAATTAAAAAAAAAATATTTAGGAAAGAAAAGAAAAAAAAACAAGTATTTTAGAAACATTAAAAGAAAAAATACCATCGATCATATTTACTCTACATATTATTATATATATAAATATATATAAATTCAACAGCATAATATTATATAAATGTCTTTAAGTATATCGAATAATCGCTTAATGTTGACAAAATTAATTAAAATTTTACTTAAATTTTAAATTTAATTTTTGTTTTTTTATTTTCATTTATGATTTTATTTAAAATCATATCACACAAACTTAAAAGTTTTATTAAAAGCCCGGTGATACGTAAAGGATACAAATGTTATATAATCAATAATACAGTCATAAAATGGTGTCAAACTTCATTACATAAAATCATATGGGAAAATACATACATAGATCGTGACATTTTTTAAATTCTATATTTAAATTCATAAAATATTGTGACAATATTTTTGTGGCGGCTTATAATTATTATGAAATTAAATCTTTTTTTTGACACTATTCTTCATCAAGATCATTATTTACAGAAATTATTTGAAAAAAAAAACAACAAAACAAACTACCTAAAATTATAAATAACAAAAAAAAAGTATATAAAGATAATTTAAACTATGAATGAGAAGGGGAGGCTGAATAATCAAGGAAATTGAAAACAATAAATAATATAATACATACATACATACATATATACAAAAAGCTTGTTTTTTTTATTTTGATATAGGTATGTAACAAAACTTACATAAATATAATTCTTAATTAAATAACAAGAGAAAATCAAAAGATTAAAGATTTAAATAGTCAAATTACACAAATAATACAAAAAACAAAAATAGAAATAAAAAATTTAATAATATGAAAATTTAAGGAAAAAATGTTTTTTTTTTTTTATTTTTAAAATGTCTTTTTTACATAAAATAATTGTATACATTAATATTTTTTATAATTTAAAATAGAATATGTATTTTATAAATTAAAAAATTTTCAAAAAAAAAATATTATGCTGCCGCCATTATAGTTTCATTTCATTTTAAAAGTTAGTGCAAAAATAAAAATGTATATATATATATATATACATATATTAAAATATAAATATGTGTATATATATATATATATATATATATTAAAACATAAATATGTGTATATATATATATATATATATATATATATATATATATATATATATCTATATATATTAAAATGAAAATATCCTATTTTATATATTTCACAATGGAAACATTAAAATTATAACCAAAAACTAAATAATGTATTTTGATAACAAAAAAAAACAAAAAAGAAGAAATATAAAATATATAAATTATATTTAAAGCAATATTCAATCATAACAGTCGCATACTATGCATTTTGAGAATCGAAACAAATTTTCGAGAATCGAACTAAAATTTCTGAATTCATACTATAATCAAAAATTGTAATATTATTCATTAATGTTATATTTAGTGTGCAAATACCAAAGCAGCAGCATAGAATAAATTATTAAAAAAAAAAATAAAAAAAAAGTTTATTTTCAAAATGAATTTTAACAATAATTATTTTACCATCAAATATTACATACAAAAATGTAAATAATATTAAAATTAAAAAAAACCCCATAATATATTTTTTATTGTGTATTTTTATTTTCAGCGAAAAATTAACGTATTAACAAAAGAAATCAGTATTATAAATAAAATTATATACGCATAAAAAAAAACAAAAAAACTTTAAAACATTTTTATAAAAATAAATTTTCTATTTTCTAATGTTTCTGAATAAATTACTAGTTATTTTACAGAGGAATAAGATATAGAAAAAGAAAAAAATTTTAATAAATTAAGGTATTGAATTTTAATTTTGTCTCATGAATTTTTTACAAAATTCAATAGATTATTATATTTTCAGACTACATTCACATTCTGAATGGACATAGTCCATTAAATGCCTAATTTAATTTATTTTTAATATATTTTTTAATTATATTACTATTCATTTTTATAATTCCTTTTAAAAATTTTTATGCTTTTCCTTATCAAATTTTATCGAATTCGACTTTATACATAATAAATTTAAATTTTATATCCTCTCCAGCCTCTCACAACACTCCTCTGTAAATGTTAAAGAAATATTTACTTTATTTATTGCATATTCAAAGTTTTTTAATAAAAATCTCAAAAGTGTAATAATTTTGAAATGAACACTTTCTATCGAAAAATAACCTTTTTGCGTAAAATATTTTAACTCTCTACTGCTTTGGTCTAGTTTCATATTATCAAAATATAGTTTTTATGCTGTTAAGAAGACACTGTTTGGATCATTAGAAAATTAGTTTCTTTTTTAAACTTTTAAATCTATGAAAAATCGTTTGTACATTAAATACTGCCTGAGAAAAATAAATTAAAAAATTCATACACAAATTTAAAGTTTAATGAAAAAAACAAATAATTTTAGTGAGAAAAATAGTGATTAATTTTTATATATAAATTAAAATATGTTTTCTAAATTGTAGTCCTCTATTTCATTTCTCAACAGTATACTTAAATTTTTATTGAAATATAACCAAAATATTTGATTATAGGGAATATTATTATTTATAATAATATTTGGTTGTTCACATTTTAATTAAAATGCTCACATTTTTACAAAAATAAAATTTTCTTATAGTTTCCAGTTTCATATAATTTTTATTAACTAATTGGTTGCAATTTAAATTTCAAAGTTGAAATATTGATTTGGTATAAATTCAAAAATGCATTCAACTTTTTTTTTTGGTTAAAAAATTTCATAAAAGGTCATTAGAAGAGAATGAATATGAAAAAGTAAACAAAAAAGTCAAGTTTTATTTTAACATTTATCACAAATATTAGGTTATTAAATTATGATTTTTGTTAATTATATTATTATAATAGTTTAAATTATAAAATTATATAGTTATAGATTAAGAAGAGAATAAAAAACACACCACTGGTCATAAAATTTGTTAAGCTTTATTTAGTTATCGTTTAGTTTTTAAGGTTTTAAGAATATTAATAAATGCAATATATATATGTATATATATGTATACAATGTATTATATAATTTATAACAACGTACATTGTTCTATAAATATTTTATTATGATTAATAATGAATATTTTTTTTTAATAATTTTTAATTTTCTGCATTGTTCAATCAATTTCATATGCTAAAGAAAAAAATACTTAACTTTAATTGGTCAAATTAAATATCTGATTTAAAAATTTATTACAAACCTTAAACAACAAATGGTAAAAATTTAAATTATAATGTCAACTACAGATTCAACAAAATTGATATCATCATTTTTTAAAATGTATTTTTAAAGAAATGCCCTCAAAGAAAAGAAAAACTCAAATATCTTAATAATAAAAATTAAATTTAAAAATTTTATTTACGTTGAACTCTTAAACTCAACCTTTATATTATGTTAATAAAAAGGTTGTTCAAATAATCTTCGTTTTTTATTAATTATGTAGTGTGACAAGAAATTGAGTCATTACAAAATTTGTAATGCAGATAAGAAGAAATAAACTTTTATTTTTTTATTGTAAATTCTTAATTATAACAAAGACAATCCAGTGAAATCCAATTTGTGAAAATTATATTTTTAAAAGATCAAAAAATTTTATATGTAAATAAAAGAATTATAATTTAAAGTTTTTCTCACACCAAGTAGATAAATTTTTGTGAATTTAAAAAAAACATATTTTTTGTTTTTGGTTGTCGCCCGATTCTTGTCTTATTAAAATTATACGATATTAATTTTTAATTTTTAATCTAAAAACTGAATGTTTCGAATTTTCATCAAAATATTGGTAAAACATTATTTTGTGCCTTGGTTTGCAAATTTATCCTAAAAATGATTCATTTCATTTGATTACGATGGATCTTAACAATTTCCATTGATTGTTATCCACATATGTTATGGAAGATGTAATAAATATGAATTTTCTTATTATAAATTTGAAAATAATTTCTTTATATAATTAAATAAAACATTTTTCTCAAATCTCTATTACATTACTGACATAAATCTCTTTACAAATACCAAAAGGAAAATCAAGGTACAATCAAAGTAATCATACTAGTTTAATATTGGCTATAAAATTTTGCTAATGTTTTCCAATACCTTAATTTCTGATATTAAAATACTAAAATTATTGTAACTTCTGAGCTTTACTCAACTTATGATATTCTATAAAAATTGTAACAATCCATTTATAAAAATAAAATAAATACATTTCGAAATCTCTTTGCTTTGAATTAATAAAATAATTCACAAAAACGGATCTATTAAAAATTTTTCCTAAAATTCATACAGAAGTATTGTTTTTAAATGAAACTCAAAATTTAATGAAATTAATTACTTTTATATTTTTTTCTTTTTAAAAAAATTAAACAACATAATAATTATATATTAAATCAAATAATTACAACTAATAAAACAAAACAAGAAAAAAATAATCTAGTCGTGAAAACTATTAAATCTAAAATTAAAAACAAAAAAAAACCTAAAATTATGCAAAAAGCAAAAATATTTACACTTTAATATTAGGACAATTAAAGAATAAATTTTACAAAGATTTTTGTATGATCAAGAAACACAATATTTAAATAAGAAAATAGTTATTAAAAGAAAAACAAATAAGCATTGGAACAAAAAATAAAAAAAAAATATAGTAAATATTTAATAAAAAAGTCTAGTAAAAAATATATATATACATATATATATAAAATAATTTAAATTATTTAAATTTAATATTAAATAGAATTTTCTATGCAAAAAATAGAAATGAAATTCAAAAAATAAAAAAAGGAAACTGAATATATTTATATATAAAAATTAATACAGAAAAAAAATGAACAAAAAAAAACACAAAATATAGAAACTATTAATAAATTTTTAGTATTATTAAAATTAATAACAAAAAATATAAAATATTTAAATGAAAAAGCATACAAAAAACATTATTTAATATTATTATTAAACTTTCGTACATATTAATGAAAAAAATATTTAAATAGAGAAAAAAAAGGAAAATCTTTAATCTTAAAAAGAAAATATTAAATGGAATTCGATAAAATTTAAAAATTACAATAACATTAAAAATAACATTGAGATCCTCAAAACAAAATTTATATTTATGATTTTCAAATATTATAAGATCTTGAAGATTATTAAAAAAATTTTCTAATTGCAATTTTTAAGTAATCTAAATAAAAATTCTTAATATGCTGCCAATTTAATTTAGTGACTGTGATTAAAGTTGACTTGTTATGTTAGATATTCTGATATTTTTTCTCAGAGTAATTCATAATTGTCTTAAAATTAATGAAAAATTAAATACTTATTAATAAATAAAATAAATATTTGTCTTTAAATTAATAGAAATTTAATAATATTAAGAATAATTTCTTGTTCATCTTATAATATCTTGTATTTGTTTTATTTAATATTCGCATCATTTCAATTTATCTAAAGTTTCTCTAAAAAATATTTTATTATTTTGAGAAAAACTATTGCAGTAACAAAATAGATGGTTTATTATGAAAGTTGAACTTAATTTAGAGTTCAAAGCTTTTTTTGGAATGGCTGACACATTAACTATGCAATAAAATCGAATCGAATTGAATTAATATAATTCAAGACCTCATATCATAACGAAACTTTCTTTTATAACACATTCACACACAATAAATTTGAAAATTCTGAAATAAAAAAATTGATTTGAGATTCTCATGTTATTTTTATTATTTTTGTGTATTGCTTTTTTACAATTTTGTACTTGATAAAGAACAAATTTTTTTTTGATTTTACTGAATATTTAATTAAAAAAATTTAAATTTTGTTTAATTGTAA